ATCAACCTGCCTTGTTCCTTTCTCCAACTCTTGGATGATCTTGTACTTCACCTCGTAGCTTAAGGAACGTCGTGTCTTCTTTGGCTTAGTGCCGCTGGGTCCAGGTAAGGAAAGGTTTCTCTCTGGGGGCGGTGGTCCGGCGGAAGCCATTTTACAGAACAATGGATACACGTTTACACGGTCTGGCGTGGAGGGATGAAATGGTGCCATGGGGTGACTTCTCTTCCACCCCAATGCCTTCTCTTCTCCCTTCTCCTCCACCCCCATTCTAATTCCCATCATCATCCAGGAGCCTTCTACATACACACCTCAAAGTAGGTGTACTTTTCTACCTTTTTTGTTGAATTTAGGCAATTTTCCGTGAACTGGAACCAATTACCCAAAAACCCATTGAAACAATGGTTTCGGTTAACGAGTTTTACGGGAATTAGCCCACCCGGGCACAGGTCAAACAACCGACAATGGGGCCTGGGAAATAGAAAGAAATTGAAAATAGAGAACAAAAAGGTTATATTGTGTTAATCTACACCACAAAGATGCCGGAAAACCAGCTTTTTAAAGTGAGACAGATTGTATAAATATAGCAACACAGAAGAAGGCAGAGCATTCCACAGTTTGGCTGTGTGAGGAAAGAAGGAGGTACTATAACGGGTTATTACTGTATAGTGTGACCGACATCTACAGAGAAACGGTGGGCACCGCAGGCAAGACGTGTGTTACGAGCCCATGGCCTTGCCGGCGGTACACAGGATGCCAAATCCATCGAACATTGCCCGTTAGAGTACCTGTAAAAGAGAGAGAGTGAAGCAACATTGTGGCAAAGAGAAAGGGAAGAAAGATTATCACCTAAAGGAGGAGAGTTAATAAGACGAAATGCCTTTGATTCCACCCTATCTAACAGTTGAAGAGCCACCCCAGATATGAGAGCAGTACTCCAAGTTAGGACGAATGAATCCCTTATATACTTGGAGCAACTGCTCAGGAGTTAAGTAGCTACGGCATCTGTACAGCATTCCCAACTTTCGGGAGGCAGCTTTAGCTATACTAAGGATGTGCGATTTCCAGGACATATTGGAGGAAATGGTGAGGCCTAATATATTTATTTCAGAATTTGGCAGGATAATAGCGTCCTGAAATGTAATTGGTGGGAGATCGTCTAATTTACAAATTGTAATTGGTAAATATTGAGTTTTATTACTATTAACTTAACCAAGTTTGTACCTCCCCATTCAGAGATGCTGCACAGATCCGCATTGATAGAAGTAATGATACCAGTACGGTACCTGCAGCAAGTAACAAAATAAGACAATAATTAGTCAGTAAAAATATGTTTTAGGTAAACTACTACAGAAAATGGGAAACCAAAAGCAGAGATAGTTCAATAGTATGTCTCGGCCGCTGTAAAATAGGGAAGGAAAAGATGCCGTGATTTACAATAATTCGCTTAAACAGAAATGAAACGCCAAATTTAACAGTTATGGCACAGAAAAATCCAGATTACGTTGACAATGACCATCGTTGAAGACAAATGTCACCGTCATTTAACCCTTATGCCCCTGGTGACATACCCAACCAGCTCGTCCGGGGTGACATACCAGAACGCGCACCTTTTCCTGCCACAGTTTAAATGACCAGCGTGGGTTATCAGGTTCCAGTGTGACTGTGTCTGTCACGCCACACCTCGGCCACAGGGAAGCTTCCTCAACATAATTACCTACTTTTGTTTGTTTCATTTTCAGTGTTTGTCCATTTTATAATGTTTTATTAAAGTATTACAGTGGTCCCTCGGTTAACGAATTCAATTCGTTCCAGAGGGTCGTTCGTTAACCGAATGCATTGTTTCAATGGGATTTTGGGTAATTGGTTCCAGCTCACAGAAAATTACATGCAAAGTAAAAAAAAAAATGCAGTAAAGTACACTTACTTTGAGGTGTGTACAGTTTGTAGAAGGCTCTTGGTTGATGATGATGATGGGAATTAGAAGTGGGAGGTGGAGGAGGAGAAAGGAGAAGAGAAGGAAGTGGAGGTGGAGGAGAAGCATTTTACTGCTTCTTGGAAGGTGAGTCACCTTCCATAATAATGTCAGGAACCTCTGGGCTGACAGATTCTCCAACAGGAAAATCCTCTCTCCTTTTTGAAGTGGAAGGCTGAGGGGAAGCATCTTTCTCCCGCTGCCTCTTAGAGAAGAAACTGTCAAATTTTGGTTGTGGGGCATTTCTCCTCCTCATCATTCACTGATTTTTGAAGGAGGAGACCACTTTGTCCTCAACATTACACAAAATAGGTTCTGTTGTTTCCACATCAGGATGCCTTGAAGCCAGTTTCCTGAACATCTCCCAGTGGTGAACAACATCTTTTAAATCTGAAGTAGACATATGGTCATCACTTTCCCTTTCCTCCTCACCACTGTCTCTTTCTAACATCTCATCCAGTTGCTGCAAGTCTTCAGGAGTAAGTTCCTGCTCATGAGACATCACAAGCTCTTCCACATCATCCTATACTTCAAGGCCCAATGACTGACCAATGGACACAATCTCTGTTTCTTCCTCATATCCTTCAAAATCATGGACTGCTGATGGCCACAGTGCTTTCCATGCAGAATTGAGGGATCTAATGGAGACTTCTTGCCATGAGGACACAATCAATTTAACAGCCTCCAGGATGTTGTATTGTGTCTTCCAGAACTGTGCCAGTGTTAGATCAGGATCAGTGGAAGTTGCCTGATAACACCTTCTGAACATTTTCTTCATGTACAGCTTCTTGAAGTTGCTGATTACATTTTGGTCTATTGGCTGATTAATTGATGTGGTGTTGGGAGGCAAAAACAACACTTTGACAAAGTCAAATCGAGCCTCCAACGTGCTGGCAAGTTGAGGGTCATGACCAGGGGCATTATCCATGAGGAGAAGAGCCTTTAAAGGGAGTTTATTGGTGGTTAGGTAGCTCTTCACAGAAGGGCAAAACACCTCAACAGCCCATTCATTAAAGAGCTGTCTTGTCACCCATGCCTTACAGTTGGACTTCCAATATTCTCCAAGTTGTCCTCTTACCACCTTTTGTTGCTTGAACACCCTGGGGTTCTCAGAGTGGTAGACAAGCATAGGCTTCAGTCGGAAATCCCCTGAAGCATTGGCACCAAGCAATAGAGTGAGACGGTCCTTCATGGGTTTATACCCCAGTAAAGAGGCTTAATCTCTGGTGATGAATGTCCTTTTGGCCATTTTCTTCCAGAACAGCCCGGTTTCATCCACATTGAACACTTGCTGTGGAAGATAATTCTCTTCATCCATCAGTTCCTTGAACTTCACTACAAATTTGCTGCTCCTTCTTTGTCTGCACTGGCAGCTTCACCATGCCTAACAACACTAAAAATTTCACTTCTTTTCTTAAATTTATCGAACCAGCCCTGGCTGGCCCTAAACTCTTCAAACTCGGTTTCAGAAGAACTAGGTTGATCTTCCTTCAAATGTTTGTAAATTTTCCTGGCTCTTTCACAAATAAATTCAGTAGAAATTGAATCTCCTTTCATTTGTTTTTCCTTAATCCAAATAAGAAGTAACCTCTCTGTTTCTGAAATTAATGATCTACCTTTAAACACTCTGGTAGATTTGTCTCTCACTTTCACTTCTTTAAATTTGTCTTTCTGCGAAAGAATTGTCGACACAGTTGATGCCGACATGCCATATTCATTGCTAAGCACATTTGTTCTAATGCCTTCTTCATGTTTCCTAATGATTTCCTGTTTCACCTGAATTGAAATTGCCTTTCTAGATTTCTTTGGACCCATGCTGGATTCAATACAATTTCACCACTAAAATTTTAAGTTCAATTGCTGTAATTAAAGATTATTTTATTTAAATCAACACTGCACTATATATTATCAATATGTTAAATAAATTTCAGAATGACCAATTATTGTACTGTAAAAACATAAAAATACTCTGTGTTCAAGAGACCCACAAGCAAGATGTTACCTCCACTGAACAGAGACACAAACAGATGCCTTGGTGGGTGAGTGAAGTGGCTGATGGGCTCACCAAAAACTAGTTCCCTGTACTGCAATTATGTTAAATAAGTGTTAAAATGACTAATAATTTTAATATAAAACTTGGAAAAATATTGAATAGCACAACCTTCTTGATATTTACTCCAATGGGAACGAATGTAAGCCCTAGAACCGATTACTATATAGGTGGACTAATCTACCAGCCGATGAGCAAGCGAAAACGTGTTGACATGTTTTGGTAAGAATTTCGTTAATCAAATTTTTGTTCGTTAACCGAATTGAAGATTCTTATGGAAAGTAATTCGTTAACCGAAATTACGTGAACCGAAGCGTTTGTTAACCGAGGGACCACTGTATTGATAAAAGTAGTGGAGTAGTATTGTAGTGTAGTATTACTGGAAAATAATGGTATGATTATGTTATAAATGTTTTTATTTGTGAAATTATAATTATTTTATGCATTACTTGATCTACCAATCACAAAGACAGCCTGGCGACCAACTGGTGATTGTTGCCGAGCAGTTTTATGAAAAATAAAGCAAATAAAATATTCTAAATGAATTATTTATAGGAAATAAGTACTGTATTATGATCAGTAAATATATGCATTACTGGCCATCCCAGACACAACGGCAAGCAGAAAATGGCCACTAAGAGCGTAGTGACCACGAGTGTCAGCTGTCAAAACAAGACTGTCCCTTTATCTTCCTCACCACCACAGGGAAGTTTCTAGAGGGTCAATATATAGATTTTTTATTATTTTATCATTTAAAAAAGTTAAAAATTATTTTGGGAAGTTTTTATTTTTCTCGATTTACCCTCACGTGGGGGGGACACCCTAGCCCGGGGCGTAGGGGTTAAGGTTAAAAATGTTGGTCGTGTCTCTCTCAGTGTATGAGGAGGTAATGCAAACCTTGTGTGTGTTAGAGCCGTTGGTAGCAGAGGTTGAGTGAGAGAGGAGAGAGGAGACTGTACTGTGTTTCTGTTGTTGCAGGGTGGGTGTAGTGTTCTTGGTATTGTTGCTGTCTGCTTGTGGCGGCCTCTTCCAGTACTATTATAGACGATGGAGAAGTGAGGTGAGTGGACCTCCCTACATCCCCTTCCCCGCCAGCCCGGTGTACACCTCACTTCCATCCCACATATCCAGCCAGGATCCTCTTTTTCAGGTAAAGTAATTGTAAGCATCTCTGTAGATCACATTGTTAGTGTAGTGAGATACATTATGCTTAGCAGAAATAAAGTCAATATTGCTACTGTGGTGCAGTAACTGTGTTGACTGCTGACAAACATTTATATTCATTTATGTACAAGAAGTTGAGTTACCCAGGTGGAGGGAGAAGAGATAGTTCATCTTCAAAACTGTGGACTAACCTGGTGTTGAAGGGTCAGTCTGGCTCTTATAGAAGGACAGGAAATAGTACATGACCATAACCAAGTGCAACTGTACCCTATATTCCTGGATCTGCCCCTGTACAGTACAGTATATACATAATGAAGAGGAGAACCAGGATAAACACAAACATCTTGACTAAGTTGGGGGGGTTTAATTATGGGGTGTCTACTGGTCTGGAAAACCTGGAAAAGTCAGGGAATTTTACAAATATACCTGGAATTTTATGTGAATTCAGTTCAACATCAAAATATTGTTATTTTGACAACAATCTTACCATGAATTAATGATGTACTCTATAGTAGGTAAATTTTTCGGAACAAATTGCAGTAAATATTCCACTCTAATAAGTGAATTGTTTGTATACCTTTCATACTTCATGTTAGTGATCAAATAACGAAATATTACAGGTTATACCTACTAACTCTTCAATGAGTATTGTCAGAGATGAATTGTTCTTATAATCAAGTGACTTTATTTAAGTGGATTATTACACATGAGTCATATACTGTAGGTGGATCAGGAGTGTGATTTTTTGGTTTTTGTTGGATTTACGGCTTTTGTCGAACTTCCGGGTCAACCCACGTGAATCACACAAATCCGAGGAGAAAAATATGGAGGGGGGAGGTGCCAATGTTTATCACTAGTCCTAATGATCATCCTGATCAGTGCTGCTTAAATAAAATAGTCAGTCCGGTATCCAGTGGCAATTATCATTTTTATATTTGCCACTACCGTTGTACTCTACGTATACTGTACATATTATTGAAAACCTCTAAATGTGTATATGTTGTAACATATACATGTAGATTTAAACTAAGCAGTACTGTATAATAACATATTGTGGATGGTGTAACATATAGATTTTATTTGTATTTGGCTTGGTTAATTTTGGCTGATTTATCTTTATAAATACAGTGACCCTCGTTTAACGAACGCCTCGGTTAACGAAATTTCGGTTAACGAACTGCCTTCCATAAGGATCTTCAATTCGGTTAACGAACAAATATTCGTTAACGAATTTCTTACGAACCGACCTCAACATGTTTTCGCTTGCACTGACCGGGCAACCAGCTTTAGTATCAGTCCGCCAATACATTAATCGGTTCTAGGGCTTAAATTCCTTACTATTTTAGTAAATATCAAGAAGTTTATACTATTCAATAATTTTAAAAGTTTAATATTCAATTTTTTAGTCATTTTAACAATTATTGAACATAATTGAAGGTAAAGTGACTAGTTTAATGCGCGGCATCCAGCCTCTTAACACAGCAAACAGGAGTTAGTCTCTCTCTGTTTTCACTGGAGGTAACATCTTGCTTGAGACTCTCTTCAACTAAACGCTTTTTTCTGTGTTTCCAAGCAAATTATTGGTCATTTTGAAATATATTTTACATATTGACAATAAATAATGCAGTGCAGTGTTGATTTAAAGAAAATAATCTTGAAATACACCAAGAGAACTGAAATTTTATGGGTGAAATGGTGCCATGGGGTGACTTCTCTTCCACCCCAATGCCTTCTCTTCTTCCTTCTCCTCCACCCCCATTCTAATTCCCATCACCATCATCATCCAGGAGCCTTCTACATACACACCTCAAAGTAAGTGAACTTTTCTACCATTTTTGTTGAATTTAGGCAATTTTCGGTGAGCTGGAACCAATTACCCAAAAACCCATTGAAACAATGGTTTGGTTAACGAACTTTTCGATTTAACGACGACCTTCTGGAACGGATTGAGTTAGTTAACCGAGGGTCACTGTATTTGGAGGAAAAAATGGTAAGTTAGGACAAAAAATTAATGAACCCAAAACAAAAGCGATAATCAGAAATATCTATTTGTCACGTTTAAGAGGAGCAAATTACCCGTACTCCACGTGAATTACAACGTGATCTAGCGAGAAGTTTTGGAGAAGTAGAATTTTGAAAATTGATAAGAATATAAGGGAAAAATTCGGTATTAAGGAGAACTGATGCAGGTTATAGTGACAATGTTTCTGGTGTTATTAATTACTGACAGGAAATTGATATTGAGTGATCATTTATTAACAAATTTCGTGCTTGAGCCGGACGCTCCCTTTAATGTACTTGGAATTTTGTTTTTGTTTGGCCAGTAGTAGACACCCCGACTTATTAACATTTCAGAAAATCACTTTCCATCATCAGAGCCGAGAGGACAGACAAAAGTTTAAAAAAATACAGATTTTCGTTTTTTTTATATTAGTTTACTTAGGACTGCCCACAGACTCCTCCTCATAAAACCATGGTCATGTACATGGATGACTCCAAGGTGATCCGGCTGAGAAAACCTGCCCAAAAAAACTCAACTTCCTAGTTCTCAAAGAGTTTTTAACTCTGAAGGGATCAAGAGGGTGACAAAAATAGAACGCCTGAAGCTGCATGGAGACCTAAAGATCACTTTCGCCGACTATGGCCAACCCGTACAACTGTCGGAGTACACCGCCATCAACGGCATCCCAGTTAGACCAACATTCCACCAGTACGACAACCTGAAGCTGGGAGTGATCTCCCACGCCGAAATTGAACACCTGAACCGAGATGAGATCGACAAACTACTCCTGGATCAGCTCCACTGTGTCAAGAAGCTGTCCGAAACGACGGCTCTGGTCGGACACCACGAAACTCTGCCCCGGGAAGTCCAACTGGCATAAGAAACCGTCCAAGTCACGCTGTACTGCTGACCCAAGCGCTGCTTCAAGTGCCAGAACTAAGGACACACCATCTACAAGTGCAAGGCGCAGGAGGATGTGTGGTACCTCCGGGCACCGCTACACCTCCTGTCCCAACGCCGAGAAAAAGTGCGCTGCCTGCGGCAGCCCACACTCCTCTGCCAAGAGACAAGAAGACCACGAGACCCCAGGGGCAGTACACCTCATCACGATCACCTCCTCCGACTTCCTCCACATCTACGAGCAGCCAGGGCATGAAGAAGAACAGGACCTAGACACTCGCGAATGGACGGTCCAAGAGAGCAAAAAGAGGAGGAAGAGAAGATCATCAACTTCAAACTAACAAGGCCCCACGACAAGCAAACAACACCAAGAAAACACCACACCCAATCAAGCCGACCAAGAACCGAGAAACCATTACCCAACCTGACACGCACCTGACGTTCACCTGAATCATGGTCCTGCCCCCTCTCCAACGCGTCCAGGCTAGTTGCTGCTGCCTCAAACCTACAACACCACACCACGCAAGCTGTGTTAAGCCACGGCATCTGTCCTCTCCCACTAAAATTCCCTCCCATCCTCTCTCTAAACTTCCACTGAACCTCCTTCCCCCCTGTAGCTAGCCTTTATCCATCCAGGACTGCCATAATTTTTAGTGGTTTTTAATTGTAATGCTATGTTACTTTTAAAAGTTTAGCGGAAGGTAAATTTTAGAATAACGTTTCATTTTTCTTATATATTACCTGTAATTTTTAAAACTTTTTGTCTGTTTTCTTGGCTCTGATGATGGAAAACTATTTTCTAAAACATAAGTAATTAAACTTAGTCAAGATGATTGTGTTTTCCCTGGTTCTCCTCTTTATTATGAAACTACACTTTCCACGTAACAAGTCAATTGCTGAAGGTATCGGCCCCAATCAAAATTTAGACATTATCTTGGATGTTTAAGCTCTTGCATTTGCCTCTTGACTTGACAGCTTCCTTCTTAGAAGCTCCTTGTGGGGTGCTTGATGCAGGGTTATCACACATACCTGAAACAGAGGCTCCTTGTGAGGTGCTTGATGCAGGGTTATCACACATACCTGAAACAGAGGCTCCTTGTGAGGTGCTTGATGCAGGGTTATCACACATACCTGAAACAGAGGCTCCTTGTGAGGTGCTTGATGCAGGGTTATCACACATACCTGAAACAGAGGCTCCTTGTGAGGTGCTTGATGCAGGGTTATCACACATACCTGAAACAGAGGCTCCTTGTGAGGTGCTTGATGCAGGGTTATCACACATACCTGAAACAGAGGCTCCTTGTGAGGTGCTTGATGCAGGGTTATCACACATACCTGAAACAGAGGCTCCTTGTGAGGTGCTTGATGCAGGGTTATCACACATACCTGAAACAGAGGCTCCTTGTGAGGTGCTTGATGCAGGGTTATCACACATACCTGAAACAGAGGCTCCTTGTGAGGTGCTTGATGCAGGGTTATCACACATACCTGAAACAGAGGCTCCTTGTGAGGTGCTTGATGCAGGGTTATCACACATACCTGAAACAGAGGCTCCTTGTGAGGTGCTTGATGCAGGGTTATCACACATACCTGAAACAGAGGCTCCTTGTGAGGTGCTTGATGCAGGGTTATCACACATACCTGAAACAGAGGCTCCTTGTGAGGTGCTTGATGCAGGGTTATCACACATATCTAAAACACACCTGCTATAGTATTTCCACACTAACCTGGCCTATAAGCCATGCCCCTCTTCTATACTAATAGCTGATTGATTCATAGAAAATTCAAACTAAATGTGTTCACAATTGGTAATGAGACTTTTTATTATCTAAAATAATGTTAATTATCTGAACTATCAAAATGCAAATGATTTTAAGTTATTAGCACTTCAGAGAGGATTTTAATTTTTTTTTAATATTTATTATAAAAGGTCGATATAAATATGCACTTATACCGTATATGCTCAGTCCGAGGGGGGGGGACGCTGAGGGGAACCAATCAGCTATTTGTAACTATAGATGAGGGACGTGGCATACTGGTCAGATTAGTATGGAAAGGTATACAAGAAAATGTCTTTTAATTATTGATAAGTAATGAATAATTTTTGTGAGCCGTGTGTTACTACAGCATCTCCCTCACCAGGTAACAGCAGATGGGTTGAAGCAGCCTGATCTGTAGGTTCCAGTGGAATGAAATTGGTCTTCCCGGATGATCTCAGCTGTACCATGTTTTAGCACCACTAACAATGTAAACATAAACTACTGTACCATAGACCATACACTACTGTACAGTAGACCATACACTACTGTACAGTAGACCATACACTACAGACCATACACTACTTACTGTACGGTAGACCATACACTACTGTACAGTAGACCATACACTACTGTACAGTAGACCATACACTACAGACCATACACTACTTACTGTACGGTAGACCATACACTACTGTACAGTAGACCATACACTACTGTACAGTAGACCATACACTACAGACCATACACCATACACAGTATAGATAGTTAGTAGTAAAGTGGTTATCTGGTGTTAGGGGTAAATGTATTAGCAGGTGGGACACTTGGCCAGTCCCTTCCTTATTACACTGTACTGTACTGAGGAAAAAACATTAATGATAAGAGTTCTTTTGTATAAGGTTTCATTTTTCAGCTGAAAGATGTAGGTGCAGCACAGTGCTGATGTAAACAGTGTAGGGATGGACAAAATTGTATTGTATTTTATGTAAAGAGAAGTACTGTAGAGTACAGTACTGTAGGTCCAGCGGTGATCACTGCTAAACTTTGTATTGGCTATAATCAACCCCAGCTTTTATTATTTCATTAGTTAGGGCTGACAGATGAACTATGTATAGTTAGGGCTGACAGATGGACTATGTATAGTTAGGGATGACAGATAGACTATGTATAGTTAGGGCTGACAGATGGACTATGTATAGTTAGGGCTGACAGATGGACTATGTATAGTTTGTATAGTTAGAGCTGAACAGACTCCCTCTAGATCATATCTTACTTTGTACTTGTTTAATTCAGTCAGTAAATTGTCCACAGTACAGTACAGTACAGTACAGTACTGTACTGTACTGTACTGTACTGTACTGTACTGTACTGTACTGTACTGTACTGTACCGTACTGTACAGTACAGTACTGTATTGTACAGTACAGTACAGTACTGTACCGTACCGTACCGTACCGTACCGTACCGTACCGTACCGTACCGTACTGTATTGTACCGTACCGTACCGTACCGTACCGTACTGTATTGTACCGTACTGTACCGTACCGTACCGTACTGTATTGTACCGTACTGTACCGTACCGTACCGTACCGTACTGTATTGTACCGTACTGTATTGTACCGTACCGTACCGTACCGTACCGTACCGTACCGTACCGTACCGTACCGTACCGTACTGTATTGTACCGTACTGTACTGTACCACAAGAATGATCAAAATGTGAAAAATTAGCCCAATGGTGAAAATTTTATGAGTGATATTGTGCCTCATAATTTTATTTTTACGAACGATTTAAAAGAAAAGAACATAATGAGTTGTATTATGAAGTGGACGAGTGTTGTGTTGATACACTCCTCCCAGCCAAGGGTTATTGAAGGCATATAAATGACTGGTTGTCAAGTGTATCTTTATGTCTGTCACAAGAAAATGGTTACCTTAATAGTAATTGTTGTTGTCAGATTTAATAGCTCTTCCAGTCAACAAGAACAAGGTTTTTTTAATGTCCTTTGACAAAGTAGTGTCTGTGTGTATGTGCGTGTGTGTGTGCGTGCATGCGTGTTATAATTAACGGTTTATTGAAAAAGTTGAGCAGCTCGAAGGCTGAAAATATACATTGGACATGAATGACTTATTAGTTACAAAGCTTGGGGTGAGGGTGTTTAACAAAAGCCTTCATTAGAGAAAGGAGAAGGAACATACAGTGAACACACAGAATAATGTTTACGGCGGAGGTCACCTGGGCTGAGGTGTTGAACAACAAACAAGTAGTGTTGTGTGTGTGTGTGTGTGCGTGCATCTTTGTGTTGTGTATCTTGTGTGTAGGGGGGCTCGTGTGTGTGTAAACTTGTCTTAGCCCAATGTGTACAGTAACTCCTACATCAATACATTACTGTAGAGTTATTTTGATAAACCTGAAGAGAAATTTGTATTATAACTAAATAAATTGGACAATTCCAGACTTCTGTCACTGTTACCAGATCATAATGAAGTTAGACTCTGGTTATATTATGTTGTTATAAGGGAAGACAGATAACTATTGAGTTGTGTAATAGTTTTTATTAATAATTTTTGTAAGAGTTGTGTTTCAATATTCAAGTGTTGTGCTTAAATGTTATTTGTCATTTATTATTATGATACTGTTTGAGACTTGTCCATATTCTGTACCTCGACAGCATATACAGTATATTCATTTATCTAGATGACCATCAACACATACAATACAGTGCTGCTTATATGATGACAGTCAGTAATTAGGATGCATTTAACTCTATGAAAATGATTGATTATATTAAAGAAAGTTGCCACAGATCCAGATGGAACTGTTAAAGTAAGTGGGCTTCTATACTGTAAAGAACCTTAGGGCTGGTTTGTGTCATAGTAAATGGTTAGATGGAGGGACTTCACATCTAAAGGATTCTGGATACAGCGGTCTTTTATAACTTTATAGTTCGTTAGATGGACGGTTTACGTGTAATGGACCCTCGATGTACAGCAATGGTATTTCCTTTCCATATAGGCCATTAAATTTGAGGTTTGACTGTATATATATATATATATATATATATATATATATATATATATATATATATATATATATATATATATATATATATATATATATATATATATATATATATATAAACAGGCCATTATATAGTTGTTTTTTTTATAAAATAATCTGTTTACTGAAGGTTTCAATAGATGGACAATATACATAGATGCAATATACTGGACTGGACTTTATAATTTCTTTTTTTATGGTTCATATTCACTTGTTATTTAAAACTAGCACTTATAGATTTTTATGAAGCCGTCTCTAGTATTTTGCTTTAGTTGGTCTTTATTTTGGCCCTGACCATAGTAATAGGTTGTGTCTCTGGGTCAGTCATACATCTGGTTGAGTTACCATCAAGATAATCATTATAAAGGTCATCGTACTCAGTCATACATCTGGTTGAGTTACCATCAAGATAATCATTATAAAGGTCATCGTACTCAGTCATACATCTGGTTGAGTTACCATCAAGATAATCATTATAAAGGTCATCGTACTCAGTCATACATCTGGTTGAGTTACCATCAAGATAATCATTATAAAGGTCATCGTACTCAGTCATACATCTGGTTGAGTTACCATCAAGATAATCATTATAAAGGTCATCGTACTCAGTCATACATCTGGTTGAGTTACCATCAAGATAATCATTATAAAGGTCATCGTACTCAGTCATACATCTGGTTGAGTTACCATCAAGATAATCATTATAAAGGTCATCATACTCAGCTATTAAGTGGTGATATTCACAATTATGATATTGATGAGATAATGTTACCATGAACATCCATTGAATATGTTTTCCATTATAAGTTGTTGGTTTAAGGAATGCTATACAGGTACATGCAATTTGGAAATGCATATATGTATACAGTATAGATATGAATATAAATTAGTATTTTTTTTATTATATTGGTTGCTAATCCTAAAATAACTATTATGAGAGTTTTAATAAACATTTATATTGTATTTTATGTTTTTCCATATAATCTGTTGTAGCTATATGCCATTATGACTCCTTCTGTGTATGGTAGCTCACATGCTCACCCATACCTGCTAGTAACATTTTTATATAAAGAAAATGAGAAATTTTTGTCACTAGTGATGTAATTTCATAAGTTTATTTTTTGCACTAATTTGAGCTGTTTGGAGAAAAGTGCATATTTGTTAACTCATGTAATGACACACAGTATTGTACTCACATCTTTTGCTACACACAGTACCTCATAATGACACACAGTATTGTACTCACATCTTTTGCTACACAGTACCTCATAATGACACACAGTATTGTACTCACATCTTTTGCTACACACAGTATCGACTGGGGTCACTAAATCTAAGGGGATAACTTAACTCTAATCTTAATGTCTAAGGGTCGCTGCCACCAGACCCCCTCTGGACAGCATGTAGCTCGTTAGGTAGCGGGCAGAGCGGACTAGGCATTGGGTTAGGTTTTCCATTGATCAGATCGATAAGGGTAAAGAAGGGTGAAACCATAACATGTCTTCATTGATTTATTTCTTATAAAACACACTGGTAAAAACATACATGAACTGGCCTTCCTCAGAGAAGAACGGAATTTTGGTTACCCAACTGGGCCAGACTCCTACATTACTGGCGGTCATCACCCTTATTGCACAACAATGGTGAGCGCCAGTATCTCATGGTCCTTCTTCCAATAACCCTTAACACATCAGACTGTTCACTGGTGTGGCACGTCGAGTTATCATACATAGTAGCACCATCTCAACACACCTGTTACACTCCATACCTGCAAGTATGTGACTCCTTGTGACTTTTAGGTATACTGCTTGGCCTCGTTACTATTACACGCCCTCGGTGGGTAAAGACGGGGCTTCACTCGAACATACCAGCACTATTTCTCGCCTGGTATTATAGAGTGGCTCAAGTGGCGACCGCAGTTTCCACGGTCTCCTTAGTTGTGACTAGCCATGTGGGAGTGCGCTCAGAATCCACCGGTTCATAGTGGACTGGTATAGTGGGGTAATTCACCTAGTGTGGCGCTCAAGGGACAATGGCTCGCGGCAAGATACCAACCACGTGGCACCTGTGGTGCGGCAGAGCGGGAAAGACTAACAATAATGCCACAATGGTTATCCCATCCCTTAACACATCCCTATCACACTTATATATCAGCAAAGCTTTAAACTGTAGTAACTGTTATTTATCAACCTTAATTGTAGGCGGGATATAGCCCGTAAGGGCACTGACCTGTGGTGGCGGCAGAACGGGAAAGACTAAGGCGGCTTCCGCCCTTCTCGTCCACATAAGCCCCGTTTCCAATCCTCAATTACCTTTTTGTTTCTTATGGTTCTCCCCTGAACACTTTCACGGTATATTGTCACTCATTTCTTATAAACACATATATTAATCCTAACTTATACACACTAGGTCAGGTCTTGGTTTGCTAGTGCTTGGTTAAATGCCTGGGATTTTAATATCAACGGGCATCTGGTGGTACATGACGCCTACAACCAAAAGCGAATGATCATGTGGGGTGTATCAACTTCACTTAAAAACTGTAATGAGGGATCCTCCTCTCACACAGTGCACTATTTGAACACAGACATAAGATTCTCTGATCACTGTACCTGTCGTGGGTATATGTCACGTGAGGCTCTAGGTGTATTAAATTCATACCGGCCCACACGATATTTCCTTTCCAGTATAGTTTCTAGATCACTGTCAACACCTCATAGTTCTGATACATTTATCCTTTTTCCAGATCATTGTTCTCATGTATTTTCACTATGATATCTGTTGGAGTTAGGTTAGCTACACGCTCACAGGCGTAAATAGTATGACCTTCAAACCCTGCTCCACTTAGTCTTAGTACACTAGTCGGCTCAACTGGACTTTAACATTCATCTTATGCCTACCTAGTGATCCTTAATGCTATGAATACATACACTTGATATGATATATACCTGGGTACAATACCACACATGGTCTAGGAACCTTGAGTAGGTGAGTTGTCCTTTCTCAATGTTTCCCGTTTTCTGGGGTTCTACAAGCGCGGTGCATTTGAATGTTATGTAGCGTAATATAGATTAGATGGGATTTTTAGGGATGACAATGATGTGCGCAGTACAACAGTACCTCATAATGACACAGTATTGTACTCACATCTTTTGCTACACACAGTACCTCATAATGACACACAGTATTGTACTCACATCTTTTGCTACACACAGTACCTCATAATGACACAGTATTGTACTCACATCTTTTGCTACACACAGTACCTCATGACACACAGTATTGTACTCACATCTTTTGCTACACACAGTACCTCATAAGAATGTACTCTCACTGCTTGAATCTTATTTGTCAGATTTATCTTCCATGTGTGATGGTTGATGGAACTATTTCAGACACGTTCCTTTGCAGTTTGGAGACCCACAGGGATCAGTTTTGGGACCACTTCTGTTCACAGTGTTTAATGTAGTCTTACATCTCTGCTGGATAATGCACTATTTCTGTGCCAATGACGCACAGCTTTATGTGAAAATAACAAATATTGAGGATTATTGAAGAGATAATGAAATTCTTGATGTCTGATATTAAGATTTGGATGACTAGACTATGAGAAAACTTAAGCTGAATGATGACAAAACTGAGTTTATCGTCATTCAAGGAAATAAGAGGGAGAAGTACAAATGATTTTGGCTCTTTCAACTTTGGGGAAGTACAAGTCAGTCATGTTCATTCTGTTCATAATTTTGGAGTGTGTTTTGACTCAAAACTAAATTTTAAAGACCATATAAATTCAGTAGTTAAGAGTTGGAACTTTCATATTTGAATTCCATAGTACAGTACAGTATGCTATTCAATAGTTTTTGGATAGACAGTAAATTGTGACCCTATTACATTCACATATTATATCCCAGGTTTACTATTGTAACTCTTTATGGGTCTGCCTACTTAATTATCTACTGAAGAACCTTTAAACAGTGTTGAACAGAATTGCCAGGCTTATTTTTGCTCTCCCACCTTGTTCAAGGCTAAGCAAGCATCTGTTTATTGAGAGTATTGGCGAGTTTTTACTTAGTGGTTGGCTGAGATAGTTCAGGCATGTGGAGATAATGGCGAACAATTGGCTCAAGAGATGCATGAGTTTACATGTGGAGGGGAGGTGAGCCATGGGTGGGTAGAGCAAGACGAACACTGGGTAAGACTGTGAAAAATTATCTGAAGAATAAGCCTGTCATTAGAGGCTGACTGTGCATCCTGAATCTACAGCACCGTCAGGTCATCACAGCTAACCAACACAAGTTTGGAAAATGACTGTAAACTTTTTACTTTACTTTTATCCTCTTCACTAAATGATCGGCTCGTTAGCCGTTTGGACGATCGGTCACGTCTCTGTTACACACTGGTGTCAAGTACTGGGCATGCACCGGCTCCTGAATGTACTGTATCCGAACCTGCTGCAGTGTTGGTCAAGTCTTGTCTTGAAAGAGCTCATACTTGGTGCTGTCACAACACTCACTGACAGTTGTTCCAAGAGTTCACAACTCTCACTCCGAAAAAGTTACTCCTCACAGTTATCTGGACTTGTGGCTTCTTCAACCTTGAGCTGTGACCTCTTGTGGGGCGAAAGTCCGCCAGCTCCAAGTAAGGACACTCGACTGAGTACAGTAGTGCCCTTTCAGATGTTTATACACCCCAATTAGGCGCTCTAATCTCTAAGGGTTGCAGAGGTGCCGGCACCAGTCCATGACTTTCCTCTGGACATTTTCAATCAACTGACAATCCTTAGCCATATCTCGGGGACCAGACGGGGAAGCACTTCACTCTTGAAGATTGTTTTGAGGGACGGACCGTCTAGATATCTGAACGGCCTTCTTATAAGATCTAATAATTTAGTTGCCTGACTTACCTTCTTCTCACAATGACCCAAGAACTTCAGCTCATTGTCAACATACACACCTAGGTCCTTCTCACATTATCTCAAATAGTGCAGTTTCTTCATCCCGTTGGGACATATGATACGCCTCCTTACCGTTGGTATGCCCCAGGTGCATCCCTCTACACTTCGTGAGGTTGAATCTTAGCAGCCATTTCTTTGACCATTCTTGAAGCTCACAGAGATCCTTCTGCAGCTCTTCACAGTCAGCTTGGTTCTTAATTTCCCGAAATACAGGAAATCCTCCGATAATGACGATTAATATTTAAGACCATGGTTAATTTAGGACCCAATTCAATTTACACCATTAATTTCTTCGTATTTACAACAAAAATAGAATAAAAAATAAAATAAAAATACATTTTCATTTAAGTAATAACTAAATCCCAATATGTATTATAAATAAAAAACACGCCTTGCACTTGGAGGCTGCCTGGCTTGTGAGTGGTGACTAGTATAAACAGTCGCAGCTGGCGGCTTTGTTTTCACACATCTGAACAGGAACAGGAGAAAAACTTTCTCAGATTTCTTACAGCATTTTTGAGTCCTTATTCAAGAGAGCAAGTGATGGTAGTGTTGGTTCAAAAGCTAATAGAAACCGTATAAATTTAGCCGAGAAACTAGATGTGTTAAAATGATATGAAAAAGGTGAGAGGTCTGTGGATATTATATGGAGCAAGCAATGAACATATTTTCTGAAGTGGATCCATTAACGGAACGAAGCCTTAAAATTAACAGGGACGGAAACACATATGACCTCTACATAAAGATGTATAATGAGAAAAGAAAATGGCTGTGAAAGGTTCTTTAGACAACTTTTATTACTCAAAGGCCTAAACCATCAACTTCAGCTACACCATCAAATTCAGCATCATAAGCAGCTTCAACATCAACTTCAGGTTCACTAACAGTTTCAGCAACAGCTATGACATCTTTATGGAAAGCTACAGCTTCAACCAGAGTTGAACCTACAGCTTCAGCCAGAGTTGAACCTACAGCTTCAGCCAGAGTTGAACCTACAGCTTCAGCCAGAGTTGAACCTACAGCTTCAGCCAGAGTTGAACCTACAGCTTCAGCCAGAGTTGAACCTACAGCTTCAGCCAGAGTTGAACCTACAGCTTCAACCAGAGTTGAACCTACAGCCAGCCAGAGTTGAACCTACAGCTTCAGCCAGAGTTGAACCTACAGCTTCAGCCAGAGTTGAACCTACAGCTCAGCCAGAGTTGAACCTACAGCTTCAGCCAGAGTTGAACCTACAGCTTCAGCCAGAGTTGAACCTACAGCTTCAGCCAGAGTTGAACCCACAGCTTCAACCAGAGTTGAACCTCAGCCTTACAGAGTTGAAACCCACAGCTTCAGCCAGAGTTGAACCTACAGCTTCAGCCAGAGTTGAACCTACAGCTTCAGCCAGAGTTGAACCTACAAGCCAGCCAGAGTTGAACCTACAGCTCAACCAGAGTTGAACCTACAGCTTCA